TATTTAACTCCACAGCAGTTAGCAAAAATGGCCCAGGGGCTGGGGCACATGACGGGCGAGGAGAGGCTGAGGGAACTGGGCTTATTTAGTGTGGAGAAGAGAAGACCGAGGGGGATTGAATAGCTGCCTTCAACTCCCTGCAGAGGGGCTGCAAAGAGGATGGAGCTGGGCTGTTCTCGGTGGGGGCAGATGACAGGACAAGCAGCAATGGGCTCACGTTGCAGCAAGGGAAGTTGAGGTTAGATATAAAGGAAAACTGTCTCGCTAGGGGAGGCATAAAGGATTGGAAGAGGTTACCCAGAGAGGCGGTGGGCTCTCCATCCTTAGAGGTTTCTAAGGCCCAACTAGACAAGGCTGTGGCTGGGATGATGTAGCTGGGGCTGATCCTGCTTTGAGCAGGGGGTTGGACATGATGTGACCTCCTGAGGTCCCTTCCACCCTCACTGTCTGCGATTCAAGACCATGGACCCAGTCCTGATAGCAAGTCAACCCTTCTGTTGTGTTTCTCCTTCCTCTGGACTGCTCTGCCACCTCCCCACCCGTCCGCCCTCTGCGACTCTTCCCATATTCCCTCTCATTAAGAGAAAGAGAAACAAAAGCGCCTCACAAGTCTGCAGAATACCAAGACACTTACCAATCCTCCTGAAGACCTCTGGCTTACACCAGATGTCAGTTTATCCCACATACTCTATTTCTTCTATTAGACTGTAAGGTGTTTGGAGCACGATCTGCCTCTTAGACCATACCTCTAAAATGCCTGGTACAATGACATCCTGACACTAGCTGGGATCTCTTATACGCTCTCCTAAGCACATGTTTGACCGGCTGACTCGAGGACACCGATGCTCCAAGCACTAGCAGCTCCCAGCAGCCAGGTGTTGGTTCAATGGCAGGAATTACAAGACTGGATTTGTTTGCAAGCCAGCTCTGTTTTCCCCAACCCACAATACTTACTGCCCCAGTGTAAATCCAATGAACTTGTGCCTGCTTGCTTCCAGGAAATGCTCAATGTCCTTCTGTCTGATAAACCGGCAAAGAGGAGAGGGGAAAAACAAAAACGCACATCAGAACCATCCCATCAGGATCCAGATTGCTTAGAAACTGAACAACGTGGACTCAGCATGCACCGTCTGCCTCTCACGTACCACTCCGAGGGAGTCCGACAGCTGGAGAGTCTGCATTGCTTCAGCAACAATGCAAACAAAATGATCTGGATTTAGTGTAACCCTCCAGAATAATTCAAAACACAGATCTGATCTGTAGAGGGAGTTTGTACAACTCATGTTATTTTTTTTCACAATCTATCAGTTCCCTGCAGTGTCCTTGAAAAGGACACACAACCTCGCCCCATTAGCCCTGAAATTGCTATGCAGCTACGGGAGAGATCAGAGGTGTCCACCGCTGCTGTCTGACAGCTCGGATCGTGGTGCCACTAGAATAATCTCGACTAGGAGGTCCGATTGCAAGGGGCAGAAAGAAGCCACCTGAATTTCCATATTTTCCCCTTCTTTCCCCTGCAGAATGATCACTATTTGACTTGAACGTTGGGAGAATATGTGGCTTAGGCAGAAACAGACATTTAAGTCATATTTTAGAAACAGGCTCCTGCCTGCTTTCAACTCAAAAAGCAGTGAACAGACTTGAGACGGCAGCTCAGCTAGTCCAGCTAAACAGCTTAGCCCTCGCGTTGCTTCCAAACCGGAGAAGTGCATGTGCCTCACCATTTTAAAGTCATCGGATCAAACCCTGGCCTCACTGAAATCAATGTTAAAATGCACAACTACATTCAGCCAGGCCAGCACTTCAGCGGCTGCCTGTAATAACAGCCCTCCTTATCTGGTTTTAGCATTTTTCTTGGAAAGAAGCACCTCAGTTGGGGTTCTTCCAGCTTTTGGATCACAGCAGTACCACTGAACAATGCTCATCACCTGGGTAGGCAAGAGACTCATTAAATAAATGGTTGAGAATTTAATTAAACAGCTCTTACAACCGTTTCCCAAGGTCACAGTCAAGGACATGCCCAGCTCTCCGTCATCAATGCTAATGACAAAGCTCCTCTTCCTTTTCTTCCAAAGGTTCTTGGGCATGGGACGCCATACACAGACAACACTACTTTCTCCAACTCCTATCCAGTTATACATCCAGCTTGGCCGTACCTGGCTGGTAAGGTCAGGGGAAGAGCACAATCACAGCTGGTGCAAGAGAAGCCAAGTGGAGAAAAGGAATGGGTTCTCTCTAGTTCAACCTGTACCTGGCTGACACTCAACCCACAACTGGTTTCAATATCAAGATTGCCGGGGCAGGGGAAGATGACAAAGAAACCACCCGGATGTACCTGACTTTGGGTGCCCACGGAAGTCCTTTGGGGAAACACACCCGCTCAATGGGTGGGCGCTGAGCTGGCAAAGCCTGGATGATCGCCTCCCGCTCCATCAGGTCCAGCTCGCCCTCGATCCCACTGTCCACATCATCGTTTTCTTCTTCATCCACTCCAGCCTCATCGTTCTTGAACGGGTCCCTCTCGTTGTAAATGTCCAAGCTGTCTTGTTTCATGAGGGGCTGCAATATGTGGAAACAGAAGAGAAACAAACAGTCCAGATCACTTCTGAACCTGGAGGTGTTTCCTATCCAAGCACTTCCTTCCAGGATTTTGACCCATCACTTTAGTTGGCATCTGGGCGTGGACAAAAAGCATCCTCCCTACATTTATAAAGGGGAACCCCTTGGGTGCTGAGCTTGCTCCCTATTCAGGAGATGGGAGATATTTTGTTTCTTCAGAGTCCAACTTTTTTGGCTTTGGTCAGCACCGGTCCCATAGCGAGATACAAACTTTGGATACTCTGATCACACAGCCCTACCAGACCAATGGCTGAAGACCAATTCTCTGGCCCAAAGCTTACTCCATGCCCAGTGCTCTCACTCCCAGAGTGACTTGAAGTTTGGGATGTTTCCTTAGTAAGAAATCAAACAAGACATTTCCAGGATGTATCTGATTGCCATTTACCCCCCTACCTGGGGACGGAAAGGGTGCTACTCAACACGCAGATACCCCAATAGGACAGATGTTCCCTTGCACAGGACCATCACGTGCCAGGTCTTACCCGCCTGCTCCGGTGGCCACGCTTCTGCTGCTGCTGTTCGATGAGTTCGATGGAGCAGGCGGGAGGCGAGGCAGCCCGCATGCTGCGCATCACTTGGATGCTGTCCTCCGGCAGAGGGGGCAAGCACAGGTCCTCCCTCTTCTTCATCTTCATCACCTGGAGTGCTTCAAATCCACCCAGGGTGAACTGCAGCCCAGCAAGCGAGACGCAAAAGAGAAAGAAGAAAGAAGCGAAGCAAATCATTATTTTCCCCCAAAGCCTGGGCACAAATTTAAAACAGAGACCACAGAACTGGAAAAGACCAAAGAGATGTGTGTAGCTACCAGTGGCGATGCGTAGGGGGTGCACGGGGATGCCCGTGCACCCCCTGACAGGCTCGCTCTCCACTTAGGTGATGGGCGAGGGGGCAGGCAGGACCACTAGTGCCCCCCCTGCGAGCGCTGGCTGCGGAGCAGGAGCGCTGGAGGAAGCCTCCCCTTTATTCATTAATTCTGTCTAGATTTCTTTATACGTCCCCAAACAACCTGTCGCTCACCCTGTATGCATCCTACACCGATTCTTCTCTCTCTCAATCTCACGTGCTGCAAAGGTCACTTGTCAAAGTAACCAAAACCAGGACATAGGATGAATCAAGCATCTCGCACTATGCCCTCCTGGCCAGCGCAGGATTATTCCCCTCTCAATGACAGAGTTACCAAACAAAAAAAGCACTATAAAATATGTCACAGCGATGCTTTGGTGATGGGCCTTCAATACTGGGACCTCTACAAAGTCGGATTAAATGGCAGAGAGAGCCCACGTGGCATCTTCCCAGGATACAACCCTCCTCAGTGTATCCGAGTCTTGGAAAGAGAAAGGATTGCACTCACCAGCAGCACCTTCCAAAGCAAGAGCAGGACTTTCTTCATGGGGAAGTGCGGAGCGTGCCCGCTGCAGAACTTGATCACCATGGTGAAAAGCAGGACAGCAAACGGTTCTTCACTGTGCACAGGAAAACCTGGGGTGGGAGAGGACCAAAAACCAAAGAAGTGTAAGACAAAAATAATTTGTCTTGCTCCCAAATGCTCACTGATGAACTTATACAGCTTGAGGGGCCTCTGCATATGGTTTGCTTACGGCAGCAGGGTCTTTGGATCTGTTGTCCTTAATTGCTCCGTCCCAAGTCTCTTGGTCAAAGGTCGAACCAACTTTTGGCTAATGCAATAAGGAGGGTTCCCTGTATTGCACAGCAATTTGCCACCTCTGGCTTTATACATACAGCTATGAGGCCATTAGAGCAATGGGTTACGGGGCAGACAGGATTGTGCTCGTCTCATAATAATCGTGCGGGAAAGGGAAAACGGGCATCCACTGACTCACTCAGCTCTGTTTTGAACGCCTCTCGGGAGGTTTTCCACTCGGGCGAGTCCGTCTTCAGCTCCACACGGATGTTCTCGATCATCAGGTACATGACGCTGAGCAGCACTCTGCGGAGAGGGCAGCGGAGAAAACCGTTCATAGTCCGCCCAAAGCCCACCTCCAGTCTCAGCCACCCGACTTCAGGATTCACAGCATCGTAGACGATGAGGGTGGAAGGGGACCTCGGTAGGTCACATCCAGTCCAACCCCTGCCCGAAGCAGGACCTGCCCCATCTACATCATCCCAGCCAAGGCTTTGTCTACCCAGGTCTTAAAAACTTCCAAGGATGGAGAGTCCACAGCCTTTCTGGGTGACCTGCTCCAGTGTTTTACTACCTTCCTTGTGAGCATTTTTCCTAATATCCAACCTCAGCTTCCCTTGCTGCAACGTGAGCCCGTTGCTCCTTGTCCTGTCATCTGCCCCCACTGAGACCAGTCCAGCTCCATCCTCTTTGCAGCCCCCCTGCAGGGAGTTGAAGGCTGCTATTTAATCCCCTTTGGTCTTCTCTTCTCCACACTAAATCAGCCCAGTTCCTTCAGCCTCTCCTCGCCAGTCCTGTCCCCGGACCATTTTCATTGCCTTCTGCTGGACTCTCTCCAACTTGTCCCCATCCTTTCTGTCGTGCGGGGCCCACAGCTGGACACAGGACTCCAGATGTGGCCTCCCCAGTGCTGAACAGAGGAGAAGAATCACTGCCCTCGATCTGCTGGCAGCGCTCCTACCAATGCAGCCCAGGATGTCATTAGCCTTCTTCGCATCAAGGGCGCACTGCTTGCATCTATCCAGCTTCTCGCCCGCTGTCACCCCCAGGTCCTTTTCTGCAGAACTGCTGCTCAGCCCGTTGGTCCCAGCCTGCACCGGTGCATGGAATTCCTCTGTCCTAAATGCAGGACCCTGCACTTCTCGGTATTGAACCTTATTGATGCCTCATGCCAAGGCGACCTTCTTACAAGCACTGATGGACTTGAAGCTGATTCTCCATCTCCCTCTCCCCGCTGTCAGAAAAGGACTAGGGGCCAGGAGAAAATCTGAGGTATCTTTCTCTTCCCTCCCTGGAGCTGAACAAGCAACCACAATCACACAACCCCAGACTCTGCCAGCTTGGAAAGCCCCTCATTTATCCTCGGTATGGCAGTTACCACCGGAGCATTTGTGAAGCTTAGCTCGGAGACTATTAAAGCATGAAAAAACAGCAAGGAAATCCAGTGACCTCCTTGCTGCTTTGGGTAAGGGTGGGGGAAGATGGGCCATGGGCAATGGACCCAATGAGTCTTGTTCGGTTAGGTCAATACCGAGGAAAAAGCAGGCAGGTTCTAGCACGGCGTTCCCAGGGCGAAAGTGCAGGTTACCTGAGCTCCGTGCTGTCTGCCAAGGAGATGGCCGGTTTCCTCAGGGCGCTGCTGCAGGCCTGGCTGTTACTGCAATGAAGAAAGAGGAGGAGAGGAGTTTGCTGTCAATCTCCTGGGGTCCAGGATGCAGAGAGACTCCACTACTCCAACAGGACAGTGAATATTTTGGGCCCATCCACACCAGAAAGAACAACGTTTAAAACTGTTCTTCGATGCTGCTGAGCACAGCCGCCAGCTCAGGAGCATGGACTTATTTATGAGGCCATGAAAGAGGTCGTTAAAACCCTGCTCATCCTTCCCAGTCAGAGAAGCTGCAAGGTTCACAGCAAGACTGGCATGCATGCAGGTATTTTTCTTACAGAGGACCAGCCGTTTTTCACAGCGCCGGCTGGGAAGACAAGCTTCACACCAGGAAAAAAACCCAACAACTCTCCCATAAGGACATTTACCAAGCCACTAAAACCAATCAGGGGCATCCAGGTGCATTTATACTAGGAAGGAGGGCATGACCAGGGGACGCTAAGCCGCTCACTCTATCTCCATGTTCAGCAGCTCCAGGAAGGCCGTGAACATGCCCATTTGGTACAGCAGGAAGTTGTTGTGCCGAGACCAGTGCAGGACGTCCAGCTCATTATCGCACTCTCCAAACACACCTGGGGGGACGCAAAGGCCAAAGAGTGTGAACAGGCAGAAGAAAACCGGCTTTCAAGTGTGTGTCGTGCTAGTGAACGAGCCGGACGGGCCTGGAGCCTTCAGCCCAGCTGCAGCAAAGGTGCAAGCTTCTGGCCTCCTAACACGGAGGGGCCACACTGAAGAGGAGCCGAGCCTCAGCTTCCCTTCAATGCTTGGCAGCCCCCAGTAAGGCAGTCAATAAGCACTGACCTTGCAAACACCAGCTGGTGTGCACTGCAAACCCACGACTCCTTTTATCCCCCTCCAGCCCCAGGATTTGCATTTTCCAAAGAACCAACGGGATGAAGCCCCTGCAAAGACGCTTTCCTGAATGGGAGCCCCCAGGGAAGAAAAACCCTTCAAGTTTCAGCTCAGTCTAAGGCAGGGATCAGCAACCTAAGGCTTATAGGGCTGGTCCAGTCTGAGACAGTCCAACCCAGTTCAGGGCAGCATGGGGGAAATCGGGTGGCAGGGAGTTGCACTGAGCTCCTCCATAGCCCCTTCCTCTGCAGCCCTCCCCGCCGCTCCCTCTTGCTGGGTGTCTGCAGCAAGGGTAAGTGCGGGCAGCTTGAGTTCCCAGGGGTGGGGGGGAAAGATCTGTGGCCCACAGAAGAGGGTTGGATTACAAGCTTGAGCCCACACGGTCAAAAGGTTGCCAACCCCTGGTCCAAGGCACATATGAGATATAGGAGTGGGTCTCCTGGTACTGGGGAAGGAATCGGGCTGACAGTATCCAGGCATGATGCATTTCCATGCATAACCTGAATCCATGCATGACATGAAAAATGAAGAGAGCAAAACTAAGGAAGGGGAGAAGCCACGTGTAGGGGGCTAGTCCAGGAAGAGCCATCCACGTGGGCAGCGAGGGACCTGCAGAGCTGGGGTCACGGCGAGGCTGTGTGTCAAACTCCTCATACTTCAACCACTGAACAGCCTCTGGGTCACAACTTAGTCTGTCCTGACACGGGCTGGGTTCAGGCCAGAAATGAACAAGGCAGCGGTTCCTAATGTCCTATCACTGTAACAGAGCTGGACCCGAGACATTCATTTCTCACGCATTATCTGCCCTGCACCTGAACTGGCCGTGGCTTTCAGCGTCACAGTCTGCCTCTGCGCTCCGGGGATGGGGAGCACAGGAGTCCTTCAGGCACATCCAGACTTTGAGTCGGTCTGATAAAAGATATCAGATTTACCCAAAGAACCAGGTCTGCCTATGTCCTTAGACCGACACGGCTACAACCTACACCCCTGAGACGCATCCAAGCTTTCAGAGCCAGCCCACAGAGCGCGGTGAACAAAGCTCCTCCAAAGCCTGGCAAAGGGCTGACGGTGCGAATGACACCCCGAGCGCAGCGATTTAGCAGGTGCATGCAGTTACCTTGTGCCAAATAAAGAATAGCCCGGGCTACTTGCAGCCGCTTGTCCCTGTTCACCACCTCCAGCCCATCCAACAGCCGCATCACATAGGCCTTCTGCTGTGCCGTGTCCAGGTCCGGCCATCTCTTCCCCTGCACTGGAAAACAACAAATCAGAGTGAATCTGGATCCAGGTTCATAGGATCATAGGAAATGAGGGTTGAAGGGACCTCGGGAGGTCACATCGAGTCCAACCCCCTGCTCCAAGCAGGACCAGCCCCAACCACATCATCCCAGCCAAGACTTTGCGTACCCGCGTCTTCAAAGCCTCCAAGGATGGAGACTCCCCCACCTCTCTGCGTAACCTGTTCCAGTGTTTTACTACCCTCCTAGTGAGAAAGTTTTTCCTAATATCCAACCTAAACTTCCCTCGCTGCAACGTGAGCCCATTGCTCCTTGTCCTGTCATCTGCCCCCACCGAGACCAGTCCAGCTCCAAATTAACCAGTCCCCTAATCTTTCATGTTGTGGGGGAAGGATGTCAGATAGGACAGAAGTCAAATGCAATCATTTTTGCTGGAGATGCAGCTGTCTATCCTGGTTCCTAGACAAATTTACCACACTCCTTTAAAAACAGAGGAGGCTATTCCTATTTGACACACCCAGCTCACAGGGACACACGAGGGACTGCCAACCACTGATCTTGCAATCCCATCACTTTGCTCGTAGTCTAAGGAATGCAAGATGGCCGAGTTGTCAGCTGCAAGGCACACAGACGTTCCCACACACCAGAAAACTCGGCACTTTTAGCTTGAAAAAAAAAAAAAAAAAAGCCCAAACTTCCAGGTCCATCTGAAAGCTGCAAAAGCACCACCTGTCGCTGTTAGCAGCTACTATGGGCGCAGCAGCGGGCAAAGAAAGTCAGTAGCTTAAGACAGTTGATGGAGCATCAGGGATTTCTTCCCAACTCTACCCTGACAGTGTCTGAGGTTGGCAAACATGCTTGCCTTTCTCTATACATCAGATCTCCCCACCTTCATCAGCAAAATGGGGATACAGCAACCCAGGCTGTGGGGGTTACTGATGAGACTTCATCCTTGAAGAACAAGGAGATCCTTAAATGAAAGGTGTGCTGAGCTTCCACGCAGGAAAAAATATTGAACTCGTAGAGGATAGTTAATTCCTACCATCAGATGATAAGGACGAACTGCTCCAGTGAGGTTATTTCCTCTAGCAATTCCCAGCCAAGGTGCTGCAACACTTAAGGGTCCGGTGAGATCTTTTGAACCGTGCTGCACAATATCAGCACTGTTAGGTGCATGCATGATGCACAAGATAGACCCGCAGATTTCAAATACGCATCCACAGCATCAAAACCAGCCTGATCTGCTGTGACCCGAGTTCTTTGCAACACAAGAATTGCTCCAGTATTTTTCCAGAGCCAAGGAATGAGTGAAAGCCAAGAGCTGGCATTTTCCCAGGGGTGTCTCCAGTCCAACAAGGGGGGTCTTGAGTCAGAAAAGGTTGAGTAATCTGAAGTCCGTATAAAACAAGTCACAGGACTCCCCTGAATTAAAACCTCTCTGCATTTCAGCATCTCTTTTAGAAAAAGCATTCAATCTTTATTGAGAAACTTCCAGGGAAGGAGAATCCACCACGGTCATTTCAGTATCGGCACGACGTTAACTTTCTTCCCGTCATCTGGAAGTCTCCCAGGGCCCAACATTAGCGAAGTTTGGCCAGTTTATGAAGCTCTTATTTGGTCTGCCTTGCTGGTACCTATCCAAGCATCCCAGTGTCTTTAGCGTGAGGATTCACATAACACCTCTCTGTGGTGCTATTGTCCCCATTTTACAGATGAGGACATGAAACACAGAGGCTGATGCGGACACGCCGAGGGCCACGCAGGAAGTCTGGGGAGAAGTAGGAACTGAATGCAATTCTCAAGTCCCAAGGGACAGCCTGAACCATTGGACCATCCTTCCTCTTTCTCATATAAAAAGGAAGAAGGGGGAGCTGAAAAGTTTTCCTCGGTGATCAGTGAGGCCCCAAAGCCTGGCCGTGGTTGACAGGGTTTCCCAGACCTCGCCACAAAGAGTGCCACTGTCGGGGAGGGTCAGGGGAGCCGGGATAAGCCATCGATATTAGCAAGACCTCCCGCTTTCAACTACGACCTCAACGGCCTGGTCTGAACGTACGGCCCCGATCCTGTCGCCCGTCCCGCACACCCTGGCAGACAGCTCGCCCGCAGGGAGGTCCCTTGCGAGTCCGTCGCTGGGTCGGCCCCGTCTTGGCAAGAGGCCGTACCCCGCACCGAAGCGGCGTACCTTGAGTTTGAAAATCCTCTTCAAAGCACCTCCTGTTGGTGACGAACTCCGGCTCCTCCGTGTAGCTGTACAGTTCTGGGGGGAGAGATACAACCGGTCAGAGCAATTAATGAGGGACGGTGGTGCTGGGGTAGGAAAGGGAGGGCCCCGATTCCCCAACGGGCATTTAGTCGTGTCTTTGTTCACATGGGACGAGGACACCCACGTTAAACAAGTGATCGGCTTTTGCACAGCATCCAAGGGCCTCGCACCTTGCAGTGACCTTTGCAGAGAGAGGCAGAGACACGGCCACTTTCCCAGGGTTACGGGGACCGGGGGAGAAGGCAGAAAACCATTGACTTCCTCATTCCTGAACCAGTTCCTCAATGTAAAAGCCTCCTTCCCTTCCCCCACAGGCTCCCCTGGCTTTAAAATCAAACTCATGGGTTAAATTAAGTCCAGCAGGATTAAGTAGCTCTGAGTCTGCAAGGTTTATTGTAACGCAAATGAAACTGGGTCTACGATGATCGCTAGGCTAAAACATCAGACCTATGCGGGCAAGGCCATTGGTAGCAGGCATTAACACCACTGCTAAAACGAGGGGACAAGTCACTGCTCTTGCTCCTTGCCCGGCACCATTTCTAGCCCCTTCTGCCCTCAGGTTTTCCAGCCCCCGCCCCGGGCAGTAATGTTTGGGTGCAGATAAAAACGCACGGGACTGTTTTCTGGTTTCCTTTGGGGTTTTTTTCTTTTTTAAGCTAAGCTCCACAGAAACGGTGGAGCAGCCCCAAACCTAACTGGTTTCAAGGGAGCGCACAATCAGTTTATGCAAGGATCATATGATGCCTGTGTCTGCGAGGGCAGGGGACTGCCCTCTGGGACCTCTCCCAGCCCCGTCCAGCACAGCACGAACGCGACTCGTCTAGACTGACGCAGGGGAAGAGGAAACCCCTGCACCGAAGAGCTGGCAGCCTGAGCCAGGACAAGTTGCAATAAGAGGGCGGAGGCCACGTGGCTTCGCAGCCTCCCTTTCTGGGAAGCCTCATGTCACTTTTTCCTGGCAGATTTCATAGTCTCCGGATTCGGGGCTGGTGGGTCCTCCTAAAAACATGCCCGATACAAAATCCGGGCGGCAGGTGCTTCCATTTATCATCCACGACGCTGGCACGTACCCGGGCAGCCCTTCCTCCCCCCATCCTCAGGGACTTGCTTTAGGCGTGCGCTGGCACCTCCCGAGCCGATCTTCTTTCTGCATCGAGCGGTGATGCTGCAGGATGGTATTTCGCAGCTTCCAAAAGCGATCTGGGTGCCTCACCCATTTAAATAGCTGGACAACACCATGGGGGGAAAAGAAACGGAGACAGGCCTGGCACGGAGACAGCTCCAAGGAGGTTATTTAAAACAGATTGACTGAACTGCCTGTGTGGGAGCCAGGAGAGGACGGAAAGGGGGAGCTATCTTCTTCTGTCCCCAGCGGCGGAAGCACAGCTCTTTAACTAAAATGTGCTACATATACCACCGGCCAACACAGCTTACACTTGCACGTGGGGAGCTCAAAATAGCGACCCCGTTATAGCTTGCAGCTCAGAGCGTGCTCAAGGCTTCCTGACTCGTGCCCAGGAGAGACAGCCACGAGGCACGGGAACAGCGGGCACGACCTACCGCTCAACTTCCCCAGCCCCAGCTTATCCTGACTACAACGGCCTGACCACGACATTCAGCGTTTCCCCGAGCAAAAGTGACCTCACAACTAGCAAACCACTCCCTCCGCCTGCTAATCACCAGTCACCCCACGGCTTCCTCACCCAAGCGCGCTGCTCGAGCCCGCCAGCCGGACTTGGCGCGTGGGGGTGACGATCGAGCCAGCGAGTGAAACACAGACATGAAACGCTGATGCTCCGGGCGCGGGCACCGTCTCGTGACAGGAGCACCGCATGCCGCTGGCAGCTCAGCTCGGGCACAGCTATGATAAACCCCGAGCAACAGCAACAGGCAGTCCAGGAATGAGGAAGGAAGGAAGCCTGGCACTTCTCAGCCCATCCCAAAAAGCTGTTGCTCTCTGATGGCCGTACAGCAGCCTCCGCAACGGAGCTGGGAAGTTTGCCAGCAAAGCAAAGGGGCGAGTGCAGCAGAGGTATCAGCAACAGGGGAGATGCAGCGACACAGGGTCTCTCGGGCAGTAGCGACCTGAACACGTAGCCAGCCTCTCGGAGTTGGGTCTCTGCTTGCTAGCACAGGGGAAAGCCCAAGCTGTTACCGCCAACCTTGCCTTTTGCTATATAGTCACGCCTGACAGTGCAGCACCCTCCGCCGGCATCCTCCTGGTCTGGAGGCCGAAGCTTTGGAAAGCTGGAGAAACACCCCAGCGTACCGAAATCTCCGCAGACTCTGCTGTACGCGCAGCAGCTGCAAATATGCTCTGCCGTACATGCAACAGCAGCAAACGTGCTTTGGGTTCCCTGCTCTCTCGCTGTTATTTTCCTCCAAAAATGGTGGAGCCCTTAGATTCACAGATGTTAGGGGATGCCCCAGCCTTTCACTGCCTGGGCCTGAGCCCACACGTGCACAGGCTGAATTTTCACTAGAGCAGAAGACACAAAGTAGAGAAAGGCCCGACCGCACTGTGACGTGGGACCACGTCCCCGATGATCCTGCTCCAAGAGCTTTCGACCACCTGAACTGCAATCTAGCATCAGCAAGAGAGGGATCTTTGCTGCAGAAGGGTAGCGATGTGGTTTAATGAAGCGGCGTCTGGTTACTGGATGGGCGTCTCGGTCCCCTGAGTGCTGATGCACCAATGAGTGGATGCTACGAGCCCTCTCTCTGCTGCTACGGAGAGGATACAAGCGCTCGTATCCCCCAGCTGCTGAACCTGGAATTTTGCAAGCGGTAACTGTGCCGGCGCTTGGGTCTGGAAATGCCCATTTCAGCCCTCCACCGCGGCCAAGAGCACGCGTCGCCCACGCATTGCTAACCGAGGAAAGCTGGGCTATCGGCCGTCAGCGTGAGCCCCAGCAGAGATCCCAGCCCTGTTCCAGCTGCAAAGCACATAACAGTCTGGCACAAAACTACATTAACAATGTGAGCTCTTCGCATACAGGAGAGAGGGGATCGGGGAAGAGGCCGATTTCTCTTGCCCGAATCCTTCCCAGACGCCTTGCACTATTCACGGGTGCCATGTGCATGCGCATGTGTGCGTGCACGTGCATGTGCTCTAATGATTAGTGAACTCAGACATGGATGAATCCAGGTTGGTCAGGGAGGGGTGGAAGAGGAGGGTCCCGCACACCACAAGCCACTGCCGACGTGACATCAGGGCATTCAACTATCTCCAGCAACTTGGCTACAAGGCCCTCACGCCTCACGCATTTCACTTCCCACCCAAACCAGCGGCACCGCTCGCAGCTCTCCTGTCCCGCCCCGCGAACGGCTGCGTTTCAGCGGGGGAGGAAGTCACCTCTGCTGCGCGTGGTTTGCAGAGCACTCTGCAATCCTCTGGGGTGAGTGGCGCTCTATTAATATAGGATGATATTATTAAATATGCATCTCCCACCAACCCCAGCCTCGCTGTCTACTCAGCAGGCAGCTATTAATAGCCAAGTTGAACTCGTGTGCAGCAAAAGCCTCGGCTCTCCGCGTGCCTCTTTACCTGACAGTTCAGCCGTGTAGCTGTCGGTGTCCCCATACTCGAACTCCAGGCTGGGGTAGTCCACCGAACCCTGCGGCAGAGAGAGTCTTTGTTAATGCAACGTCAGGGCCCGTTTCACATCCAGAGGAACTGGAGCGATCACGATTCTGCTAATCGACGCGCGTGTCAAACTGAGCAGCCAGGGATGTCCCAAGAACGAGGCCAGGAGAGTCGAGAGAGGATGCTAAGGCTACGTCAGGAAGGATCTCCCAGTTTGACTGTTGCAGCATCCATGAAAGTTGATCAAACCTTGGCCCCAAGGAGCAATCACCCCAGCAGACGGGAGCTCTTCTCTAGGGCCGGGGCAGGGAACGCGTGCAGACCATTTACCATACACCGCCCGGTCGGAAAGGCTATTTTGATCGTGCTTCCAAAGCCACTTGGGCGCTGCTATCACCCGAACAAGGACCCAGCGTTTCCAGACTGCGACTCCTACATTTAATAGTGGCACGTGGGCATCCCGGGCTGCTCCAATCTGTCCGAGAGCCTGGCTTTTTACAAGGGAGCGGTAGTTAGCTCTGTTTAGAGAGAGAGAGACGTTTTTTAAAGAAAAAAGTTTTAAAAGCTTTTTTAAAAGGGACTTTTCTTTCTTTTACGCATCCAACAATGCTCTGAACCATGCTACAAATGCCACCCGAGGCGGTGTCTGAACGCCTGCCTGCCCGCACTTCCACCGCCAGAGAAGACCCACCTATCTATAGATGCAGATACAAATACTTGGGATGCTTTCCTAAATTAAGGCTGGTGTGTTATGCTCCACGAGGAACCCTGCAGAGGGGCGACAGGCAGCACAAGGGACCGCTCAGGGCACGCGCAGACAGAAAACCTAGCACTAAAGGGTTTTTTGTCTCTCCTTTTTTTTTTTTTTTAAATCGAAAATATTAGTAGATACGAGCGTACGAGGGCACGCGAGCCGGGGAAGATTCCTGAAATCACAAGACAAAATGCAAGAGTCAGTCGTTAACAAGGGTCACAACCAGGCACGGTGTCCTCCCGTTTCCCTCCTCGCTACCGAGCCGTGACTTTACTCTCCCTCCGTTTCCAGCCACGTCGCAGTGGCTGTCTACAGACATCTCCCGTATTTCCCGGGCCCCGCAGCGACGACGCGCCGTGTAGGTGTCGTACCAGGGAGAGGCAGGCAGCTGTGCTAGCGTGAAGTCAGGTAGATTTGCACCTGCTAGTCTAATACCAGCCATTGGGTATTTTCCCCACCCATACTACAGTGTCCCGAGGCTATCGTTTCGCCTCTGCAGAACACAGCTGCTTAGGCTGCAAGTAGGTCTCTACCCTGTGGAAACTCTGCCGGCCAAATCAAGGAACTGGGGCATGAACCTTTTGCAAAGGATCTGAAGAAACAAGTGCAGGAAGGCAACGTGAGCATGTGCACGCGACCCGCTAGAGGACACGAGGCAGCACAAACAGCAGCCGAGGGGAACCAAAAAATTATTCAGAGTTGAGAAGAACTGGAAAACACGGGACTGCATTAAGCGGCACATGCAGTCTGCCAGGCTAAACTTAACGGGCGCGTCTACACCTGCATTAACGCGCCTTTCCTCACGTGCATTAAATTAGTACCTCCAAGGTGCAGGGCTACGTGAATGCACGTTCGGCTGTGCTAATACGCAGGAGCACGTTTGCATGCTTTTTTTAGTGACGCTTAACGCGCAGTAGACTATTAGCGTAACGTCGCAGTGTTTACGTGACGCTTTGATGCGCAGTAAAATAACCTACTATGCAGTAAAGTGCACGTGTAGACGTGCCTAATGTCCTGGGAGGGTACGGCCTGCGATAGGCGAGCCTGGCGCTGCGCTACGAAGGGTGCAGAACGAGCAACAGAACGTCATCGCGCCCCTCGGCCGACACAGGAGGCAACGTAGACCCCAACCTGTTTCCTGATCCCTACATACGGAAACTGATGTCCAGTATCAGTCGCACTCGAATAGGAGCGATAGCCGGTATCGCCGGCGCAGCAAGAAGAGGTCCGAGGTCACCACGCCGAGGCGCAGCGGTAACAAGGACCCGGCACCTGGAGGAAGAACTAACACTGCCGCTATTCACAACGATCACGTCCCCGGCACCCCTCTTGCGGGCTTTGTCTCGCCGGTTGCGGGCCCGGCCAGCGCCTGCATCGGCCTGAGGAGGCTTTTGAGCCGCCCCCCACTCCTACCCCAATGCCAAGTGCGGCTGCAAACACGGAAGCGCTCGCATGCAGATTTTTAGCCACAAGCAGACCGCCACGGGCTGCATCGGAGGCTCGCCCGCCCGAAAAGGGCCGTGAAGCGGGCCAACGACTTGCTGGACCGGCTGTATTTTAAACGAGCGGCCTAAGCCAGCGGTGTGAAGCACCCGGCGGCTTTCCAACAAGAGACCCCAGACCCGAGGAAATCCCTCTTTTCTGCTTCTGGTTCGGGACCGTGCTTTGCACAGGAGGGTTTGGACGGGGCTGATGCTGCCTCAGGCAGGGCGCTCTGGAGCTCCGTCCCAGCCCCGCTTCCCGAGGAGCCCACGCTCCGGCAGCCTCCCGACTTATTCCAGCGGCCTCGGTAGCCCGCGGAGTCACCGCCGGGCTGCGCCGCGCACCCAGCTCCTTTCCCGACACTTCAGCACGCTTCCTCCCCTTTTTGCAGCCGGTCCAGAGCCCACGAACACGGGGGCCCGGCTCTCTCCCCCCACGACGGCAGGGGAGGGTTCCCAGCACCCACCTCGGAGCCGGCGCGCGGGGCGCGGAGCAGGTCCCGGCCGTGGGCGCGGGCGGGCGCCGCCTCCTCCATGTGTCCGCGCCGCTCTGCGCCCG